ATGACACACAGGAGCAGAGCTGCTCCCACTGGTTGGTTTCTGCATGAGAGAGCGGTCACTCATTCAACAGCATGTACCAGGCCCTACAGGATCCAAGCTCCAGGTCTCACCTGTCACGGGCCAGGCCCACTCAGGACACAGGGTCCACTATCGAGCAGGGCAGGTCCCATAAAGGCCGGTGGTAACGTGGTAAGGACAGCACTCGTGAGAACACACCATGTTCGCAGTGCACTCTAATACGCCAGCTCCACGCGGGCTTGATGCCGCCGGCCTCGGGACGTGGGAACGCCACGGTGGCTGTTCGGGCAGTTTCTCACAGAGGCCGCGTGAGCAGCGGGGACAGAGCAACCCTCAACTTCCACACCCACTCCGGGCTGAGTGCAGTGCTGCCCTCCTCTGACCTCTCAAGGGCTTAATCCTAAAGCAGTCCTGCAGGGGAGGGCCATCGCCCACATATGACATAAGGAAAGCACAGCTTCGAGACCCTAGGGGACTTGCCCGTGACCTCATCCAGAGGGCATCCACCCCGCTGGCTGCACAGAGCAGCGGGGCTAAAGGGGATGTGGAGGAGCTGACAAGAGGTCATTCCCGTGCCCGCCTACCCACAGCCTACCCACAAAGCATGCAGAGGGCCACAAGCAAGTGGCAGTGGGGCCCAGGAGGAGCTCCATGTCTCCTCCCCTGCATTCCCTGGGTGAGCTGGCTTCAATGAGTCAAGCAAAGTGACACGCACACATGAGCCTACACAGTTCTGCGCCATGTGTCCTGGTAGGGACGCAGAGCCCAATGCTGATGGACAGTCTCGAGCAGGGAACCGACTCCCAGGAGACCCGGATCAGGGCTCCTCTATGCTGCAGGCCCAGAACACCCACCCCAGGGAATGACCAACTCAGTGTCCACAGCACCAGGTTGGGACACATTGCTGAGCTGTCTCTGACAAGTCCTTGAGCTCATTGTGCACTACGCAAAGTCAGAGTGCTGAGGAAACCATGGCAACATATCCCAACAACAGCAGTGCTCATCTGACCAGGGGAAACTGAGGCACAGACCTGCAGGCATACAGCTGGAAATGGCAATAGGGACTCTGAACCCCAGCCCCCCACTTGATGTGCCCCCATACTTTGCTCAAGCCTGAGGACGTAGGAAGGGCTAGCGCCCCACCCACGGTGCGTTAGCCCCCACAGGGGTCCCTCTGGACAGGAGCCGCCACAGGGAGAGAGCCCGAGCAGGAAGGTGGGGTGTTTGGAAAGGGGTCTGGACCACTAGCGGGCCTTTTGAGGACACATACAGAGGTTGCACAGGAAAGAAGCGCAGGCCTCAAGGGCAGGAGGTTACCTGCTGCCACTGCATAAACCCCAGCCAACACCCCAGCCCTCACTCCCCCGCCCGGCTCAGCTCCACGCATCCCCAGAGCCTCAGCTGCAGCCCCTCTGCCATCCATTCCCCAACCCCTAGAGAGCAGGCATGGTGGCCTCCCTAACGCCTGCTGCCCCACTGCAAACTGATGCCCGTGCTCACAGGACCGGGGGGCCTCCTCTGTGACATAGCCAGGCATCCCACCCCTGACAGAGCAGGGCCCCATCAGGAAAATCCACACGTGACCCCCCTATGGCTTGGAGGCAGGCACTTCCTCCCTCATTTCAGCCAGCTGGGGCGCAGGGCAGGAGGCCCACAGGAACAGCCACAGAGGTCCTCAGTGACCTGTGGACGCAGAGCTCAGGGTCACCAGCCACACCCCAACCCACCTCTGACCTGGGACAGGCCTGGTCACACAGGGGACACCACTGAGCCTGCTGAACCCTGAGCCCTTGAGACACAAACTATATTTTCCAAGAGATCCATTCAGGGGATCAGTCAGTCCAACGGGCCCCATGGGAGAGGGGAGGGGCATCCTGGGCTTTCCAGGACAAACAGGGAAACTGAGGGTGCAGTGAGGCCCGAGTGTGCAGTGCTGACATCCCTGAGGCTGCACACCCTCTGAGCAAACAAGTAACTTAAAGGACAAAAAAGAACATGTCCTGGGGTGAGTCGTCTCTTTGTAGCCCTGGCTCTCAGGGACAAGGCCATCCATGGTGCTCCCTGCTCCCACAGGCTCTCTGGCTCCCATCGTCTGTGGGCACAAGGCACAGTGACCCTGCCAGGAGCCAGAAGCCAGCCACCACTCTGCACCTCCTTCCGGGCAGGGTACAAGAGGCACACCCAAGCCTCTGGCCACCCCCAGCCAGATCCGGCCTCTGGCTGCCCAGCCAGCAGCTCAGGGGGACAGGAAGCCTCTGGGACTAACCACCCTGCTTTATTTAGAAAGCTGGAGTCACCGGCTTAGCCCTGCTAGTGTTGTGGGTCTTGGGAACAGGCATTCCCAGGAAGGCCTTATTCTGTGCTCCAACCATAAACCGGTGTGAGGATCAATGACAGGTCTCCTCCGTGGCTTGCTACCAAGTGACAGAAAAGCCCCAGAGATAGCTGTGCAGGGAGGGCCCAGTGTGCCTGCAAGGACCCCAGTGCCGAGCTCCTAGCTGGGCCGCAGCCTCTGGCCCAGTTCATGAGGTGGTCGGGACCCTGGTAGTGGCAGCGAGGAGACCGGAACAGTGCCCTGAGTACATGGCCAGTCTGTGTCACTTGACTACTACTGAGAGGAACATCAGGAGACCCCTGGGGTGATACTGTGAACAAAACTGCAAATCTGCGGATGCAGTCACACCTACACTGAGCGCCGGACACACGCGGATTTGCAGATACACACCGGGCAAGCAGTTGCGCCACTTCTGACTGACTTCTCACCGACTACCCCACAGCATGCAATCTACACTACACTACAGTGTCCTACGCTACAGAATGCAGGGGGTCTGAAGAGGGAGTGACTGCCCCCAGGGGACACTGGCATGGAGTGGGTGGAGAACAGGGACACTGCTCAACACCCTGCAGAGCCCAGGGCACCCAAAGAACAAGCTGCCCAGTGCCCAAAGAGCCCAGGGGAGACCCTGCCTGATAAGGGGCATTAAAATTCCCGGCCTGGTTGAGCAACCTCACGGGACATGTGCAGCCCAGGAAGACAGTGGACAGACAGGACAGTGGACAGGCACTTTCCCACACAAAGCTCTATCTGGCTGCAGGCCCAAGTGTGAAGGTGGCATCCTGGGAGCCCATTTCCCCACCTGGAAATGAGGCCAGAACCACGTACAGAAGGAAACCTTCTCCCTGGATGTCACAGCATGCAGCAGCCCTGCCTTCCATACCTCATTCTGCAACCCCAAAGGGGGCTCAGTTCCAGGAAAACGCAAACCCCAGCTGGCAGCCACCCCTGGACAGCAAGATCACAGGGCTGTACTCAGGTACCCAAATGTCCCTCTGACGAGGTCACCTGCTGCAGGCAGCAGCCCCCTCAATTTGCTCCCTGCACTATGGGACAAGGGCCCCCCCCTGGCTGTCTGCAGAGACAGAATGAGTCCTCACAAGCAGGTCTGAGTCAGGGCGAGGGAACTCAAGGAGTCCCTGCACCCTTGAGTCCCAGCCCCTGGTCACCAAAGCCCCCAGCAAGGGACTTCAGTCTGCGACAAAGTCTGCATAGATGGGAAATTTCTGAGTCTGTCAGATTTCCCAAAGGGTCCCTGGCCCACAGCACCAACTCTATGAAGCCTACCCAGCCCCCAGCACATTCCTCAACCTCTGCACCTGTCCTCCGGGAGAGCCACACAGTTCATCTTTCTTCTCTTGCCTGTCCCCCCTGCAAGGGTCCCCTCCTTATAGGCTGGGTACAGGGCTACTTGGGTCATGGTGGGAGAGGATACTTTGGACACAGGTGGGTTTGGGGGACAAAAGCTTGCAAAATGGCCATGTCACTTCCACATCCACTGCAAGCCTCTTAGCTGGAGGCCGGCTCAGCAAGCTGCAGAGTGGAGCCAGACGGTGCCCTTGAACCCAAGTCAACTTGTAGCCCAGGGTGTGGGAGGAGAGGCAAGGCCCAGGTCAAGGCCATCTGCCACTATCCTTTAACAGACAATTTCTAACTCTTCCCCGCCCCAAAACAAAGTCTCCTGCTCTCAGCAGAAGCTGCCTGGTGCCACACTGTCCACAGGGCGGTCCTCAGACCGTGCAGGCTCCCCCAAGTTGTGCAGTTGTCTCCGGCCTGCCAGCCCTTCCTGAAGAGTCAGTCCTTATATAGCCACCACACTGTGGGGGAATGGCACCTTGTTGGGGACAAGTACCAGGAAGGCATTACCTCCAAGCCCAGGCTAAAGGACCACACAGGTGGCTCCCTAAAGGGAACAGCAGTATGCTCTCCGCCCCCACCTGCCACCCCCATAGCTCAACCATCACCAGCTCTCTGCCACCAGACCCTGTGCCCCTAGACCCTCTGTCCCCATATCCTCTGTCACCAACCCTCTGCCACCAGACCCCTTTTTATCAGGACCCTCTGCCAGAAGATTTGGTTCCCCTAACCCCACGGCCACTTCTCAGGGCGTCTGCACCAGGACAGCTCTTTCCTCCCTCTGCCCTGCCTGCAACCCCATCAAGGCGACGCTGCAGTGCCTGCACTCCTGACCTCTGCCCAGGCTCCCAGGCAGAAACAGGAGATGGGGGGACACAGCTTGTTTTGTAAACCACTGCAGAGGCCAGTTCTCCCGGGTCCTCATTTGGGCCCTTATTTGGGGTGACAACACTCTGACAGCTGGGCCTGGGCCGACTGGCACCGGCAACAGGTGTGCCTCCAGGAGCGGGAGCCACACACTTCTGCAGAAGCACTGGCCACTCCACGAAAACACAGAGGACTGGGGCTGGGAAGACCACTGAGCTGGCAATCTCTACAGGGTCCTCCCAGACTCGGCTGACTAGCTGAGGGAGAGGGGCTGGGAAATGGCTCCAAAGGACATAGGGACTAGGGGTACAGCGGAGCCGTAGGCAGCCAGGCACTGCAGATAGGGAACAGGGCTCCACCTGGTGGGAAGCATCCAAGGGCTCTGGGTGAGTGTTTCCTGCGGGTCACAGCCCAAAGGTCCCACCTGAAGAGGAACAGGTGCAGTGAAGGGGCCATGCAGTGGGAGAGGGGCTCATCCTGTCAGAAGTGGTGGAGAGCAGATCTCCCAAGGGTCCTGCTGGCCAATGCTGACAGCAGAAACAGACAGCTCCACAGAAGGCATGCAGAAGCAATTCTGGACAGCAGAGGCAGAGGCTCATTCTGAAAGACCTGGACAACACCGGAGGAGGCTGACCAGGAAGGAAACTGGGGTCCTACCAAGCGTAGCAGGGGCTGACCCAAAAGGGGCCCAAGAGCCCTGTGGACAGCATAGCAGGGGCTAGCCACGGACAGACGACAGGATCCGGGCCACTGTGGACAGCACGGGCAAAGACTTGCACTGGAAGGATCGGGACAGGCTGTGACCACCACAGCAAGAGCTGACCACTGAGGGGTTCCAGGCAAGTCAACCACCGAGGACAAGGGGCCACCCTGCCAGGCTCAGGCAAGGGCTAACCCTCCCGGGATGGGACAAGCCGACCACTGTGGACAGGACTGACCGATCACTGTAACGATCAGGCGGGCTGACCACTCAGGCCCAGGCCGCCCTGCAGAGCTCGGGGCAGGTCTGCACGGATCAGGCCGACTGACCACCGCGGGCAAGCTGGTCACTGCGGGCCTGGGCCGCCCGGCACAGTTTCAGGAGGGACTGGGGCAGGCTGGCCACCGCAGGCAGGGCTGACCAGTCGCTGCAAGCATCCGGGGCGGCGGCAGGGACGCGCGGCCCGGGCCCCACTCACCAAGCAGCAGCAGCTTGAGCTCGCGCCGGGCGTCGCGCTTGTCCCGCCGCAGCTGCTTCTCAATCTCGGCGTTGATGCGCTTGGACTCCTTCACCTCGTCGCTCAGGCAACACGCCATCATGGACTCCAGAGTCATCGTTCCGGCCCCGGCCGCCGCCGGCCGCCGCCGGCCGCCTCCGCCGCCGGCTTCTGGCCCAGTCCGGCCCGGCTCGCCGGAGCCGCCTCGGCTGCGCCCGGCCCCGCCCTCGGCCCCGGCCGCAGCTCGGCCGCCGCCAGTCCCCGCTCCGGCCGCGCCGCCGCGGACCCCGCTGCTGTCCGCGCCGCGCCGCTGCCGCCGCCGCCAACCGCAGCCGCTGCGACCGAGCGACAACGCTGGACAACCTAGCGCGCTGGACGCCAGAGATAGGCAGGCAGCGCGGCCAATGGGAGGGGCCGGTGGCCGGCGCGGGCGCCGCGGGGGCGGGACTAGCGGGTCGGTTGCGGGGGCGGGGCCTCGGCGCCAGGGGGTGGGGCCGAGGCAGAGGAGCGCTGCGCGTTGGGTCGCGCCGACGTGGGAAGGGGCCGCGCCGCCGGGAGCCGGGCGGGGCCGCCCGGGATTGTGGGAATGTGGCGGACTCGGACGTCTGGTTCGGCTCAGCTCGGCCCCGCTCGGCCCCGCTCGGGTGCACTCGGCCTGGCGCGGGAGGGAGAGGCTAGCAGCTAGAAGCTGCGCACGGCTCTGGCCCTCTTTCACCGTCTGGTCTTGTTTGCGCATCTATCCCTGGAAAAAGCCCACTGTATACAGCGCCCGCTTTAGGCCAGGCACAGACCAGGCAATCGTGCAGTGCCTGACATATACCAGATAGGGCACAAAAGCATACACAGAGTGTCTACTAAGCGCGGGCCAGGCATTAATGCAGCACCTGCAGTGTGTTAAAGTACAAACCAGGTATTAATGAAGCACCTCCTGTACACCAAGCATGAACAGACATTATTGTAACAACTGTTATATATGAAGCATTGACCAGGCATTAATGTGCCACCAGCTGTATGCCAGGCCGGAACAAGCATGAACAGAGTGCCTGCTGTGTACCAGGCAGTGGTATACCACCAAGCTGATATTTTTTTCCTTAATTTGCAGGTGAAAGGAAGCAGCCATCAGCATTCGTCGAAACACAGATTCACTTTGCCTAGAACCCTTTTGCCCTCTTTCCTCTTTATTCACCTGCTCTGCAGCTCTCAGCTCAGATGTCCCATCCTGGGGACGTCCCCTTCCTGACTCGGCAGACCAAGCCATGTAATTCTCTTGAATTTACATGCTGGTATACAGCAAGTGTTGGATTAATGCCTGGTCTGTGCCTGTTCTACAGCAAACTCTGCGTTAATGCTTGGTCCATGCCTAATATACAGCAGGCACTATATTAATGCTTGCTCCCTGTCTGATGCATGACAGGTACTGTATAATACTTGTGCCCTGTCTGTGTTTGTGTGTTCATCAGGGTAGCTAAATGCAGACTCAGTTTCCCCAACTGACAGTGGGCTCCTTGAAGGCAAGCACGGGGCTGCCTGGCTCACCATTAAGAAGAATTAGAGGGCTGGCGGAGGTGTGGCTCAAGTGGTAGAGCTCCAGCCTGGCAGGCACAAGGCCTTGAGTTCAAATCCCTGTACCACCAAAAATAAAATTGTCAGAAACTCTCTTTGCCAGGACTGTGGGTCAAGTAGTAGAGTACCTGCCTAGAACCGAGACTGGCAAACCATACCGCGGGTCAAACCTGGTTTTTGTACCATGTACAGACTCAAAATGGTTTTTACATGCAATAAAATAAAAATAATATTCCATAACAATTACATGTATCTCAAACTTCAGTGCCCATAAATCAGCTTTATTGCAAGGGAGCCACACCTGGGGATGGAGCTCTAATGCTAGACAAGCGCTCACCACTGGGCCACACTTCCACTCCATTCAAATATTGTCCATCTGGCCTCTTACATCCAAGCAGGTGCTCAATCGATGCATTTTTTTGTGTGTGTGGCACTGGAGTTTGAACTCAGGGCCTTGAGCTTGCTAGGCAGGTGCTCTACCACTTGAGCCACTCCGCCAGCCCAGTCAATATTCCCTGAGTGATGGCAAATAAATTTAAAAGCCTGGAGTCTTCTTGCAGCTGGAAACCCATTTTCCAGAGGAGGAAACCAAGATGCATTGCACACGACTTCTGTGACCGTGACCATGGCCCTGGCCTGTTGTGACCCCTTCCCTGGCCCGCCCTGCCCTTCCCAGATTCCAGGCTCGGCTGTCTGTCACCCCTCCTCCAGCTGCACCTTGAATGCTGTCCAACCTGGAGATAAGGGGCAAGGGGAAGATCAAAGTCTCCACTTACCAGACAATTGGCGTGTGGGAAGATTGTGACCCACCTCAGGGGCCTCTGTCCCCACCTCAGCTGGATGCCAAAGAGGCTCTTGTGTCCCCTACAAATAAATCAAGGCTTTCCTTGAAGATGGAATCTGCAATGAGGGTCAAATGGAACAAAACGTCGTCATTCAGGCCTCAGTTCAAAAGGCCCCCTCCTGCAGTTGGTCTTCCCTGGCCTCCCCCAAAGGCCACCCCACACCAATCCCTTGCCAGCACCACGCCCCATGAGCACATTCCAGATCCATTCCGCGGTTGGGAATAGCTTCTTTGTCTATGATTTATGCACTACGTCCCTGTCCAGCTGGTGTGCAAGCCATCGTGCCCTTCCTCTCTTCTATGTCTAGAACCCAGCTGGGTATGCACCAAGCACTCTATAAGCATTGAAGGAAAGGGTAGATGTGTTAACACATCACAGCTGTGATAGTTTTGAGGGTTTTTTTTTGGGGGGGGACTGGGGTTTGAACTCAGGGCTTTGTACTTTACCACTTGAGCCACACCTCCAGTCCATTTTGCTCTGATTATTTTGGAGATGGGAGTCTCGAGAACTATTTGCCTGAGCTAGCCTCAAACCTTGATCCTCCTGATCTCAGCCTCCCGAGTAGCTGAGATTACAGGCATGAACTACCAGGCCCACTGGTTTGAAGTCTTTTTTTTTGGTTTGAGGTCTTCAATGGCCTCTTCCTCTCAGCATCTCAATTATAATTCTGTATTTGTTAGTCCTTGTCACCGTCCAGATGTTGCACTCTGTGAAGATGTCACACCTCCACTGTGGATGTCCAGCCCTGTTTGGTCCTCCGGCCTCTTCCCTCCTCCATCCACGCTTTCCCAGCCTTGTGAGGAGCATCTTCTGCTCTCATGACCCTAATTCATGTCCACACTTGACGACACCCATAGTCCTCTTTCCAGCCAGGCTGCCCTGGCACCAGGCTTGGGATCCAACTGCTATTAGACATGGCCGTCCTCCCCTGGGGAGTTCACAGGGTGTCACATGCAACTGGGCCAAAATTGAGCCCGATTCTACCCCAAAGGTGCCAAAATTGAGCCCGATCCTACCCCAAAGGTGCCCATCTCATGGCAGGGTGAGTAATACACACCTGTAATCCTAGCCCTTGGCACTCAGGAGGCTGAGGCAGAGGATCATGTTTTCTAGGCTGGCCTGGGCTATATAGTGAGACCCTGGCTCAAAAAAAAAAAAAAAAAAAGAGGAAAGAAACAAAGGTGTTGGAAGAGTTTGGTACTTGATAAATACACAGTAGGTGCTTAATAAGTGCTTAAGTGTGTAAAAGGACACAAAGAGGTGCAGGTGGGAGAGGGATGTGAGTAAGGTGGGGGAGCAACATGGCCATGATTCGTCCCAATGTTTATGGGGTCCTCCTGGGCACCCCTCACCAGCAGAATCTCTGCTAGGCATTGTGGGGTGGGCACCTAGGGTGTAGAAACAGCAGAGGTGTCTTCAACTCCCATGCATTCACTCGGTGCCTACTATGTGCCTGAAGCTGGACAGGGACCCAGAACACTTTCAGTGGGTATGAAGGGAAAACTGAGGCCGAGGAGAGGCAGTGGCCCAGCCCTGGGGCCCTGCTGGGGACTGAGCGTGGATTGTGGCTTCCCCACCCGGAGACTGGGAGAGACAAAGTCCGGGCCACCGCGCCTCACTGGCACTGGCCCTGGCCCTGGCGCGGCCCCTCCCTTGGGGCTCCCGTCCTCCTTCCTGGCTCCTGGCCTTGGCCTGCGGACCCTGAAGCGCGGGGATTTTATGATTTTATGAGAGGGACCAGGGCCAGGGCCACCGTCCTGGCACAGAGCTGTGAGCCAGCTCAAAGGTGAGTGGGGCCCTTGGCAGGTGGGGCGAGGGGCGAAGGGGACCTGGGGGACAGCCATGTCTGCACAGCACCTTGAGAGTGGCTGCGGTGCAGACCTGGGCCGAAGCCAACGCAGGCTGCAGGTGCAGCATGAGCCCTTCACCCCCTGGGTGCTGGTTATGGGGGGCAGTGCTTCCCACTGAGCCGCACACCAATCGCCTGTTGGTCGCACATTAATGATTGCTTCATCAAGCCGCAGCCAGGTGGTGCCATAGGGTGCCAGGGCCAGGGCCAACTCCCTGGCCTCGCCTGCCAGCCTCCCCATCCTCAGGGTTGAAATGGAGCAGCATCTCCTGGCTGTTCGTGAGCCTGTGATGAGAGCTGTCAGCACCCCGTGATGTGGACATTTCCCTTAGGAGCGACAGAGGTCCTGCCTTGG